TAGCCAAAATTTTGGAATAATTTATTTGAAGTGTAGAAATTAACAAATTAAACAATTTAAACTTGTAAAAATTAATCAATTTAAATATATCCTTACCTAACATTTACACCTTAGATTTTCTTAATTTAATGCTAAAAAATAACTTTAGTTGCCACCAAAAATGCATTAATGACAATCTGATCATTTCTGTCGGTCACACGACCCGTGTGAGAAGTCACACGACTCGTGTGACTTGGTCACACGACTCGTGTGACAAGGTCGAAACTTAATTTGAATGATACTTTGAGTCACACGACTCATGTGACTTGTCACACGACCCGTGTGACTTAAAAACTTCAATTTCTTAACTTAGTTACCCTCAAAATATCTCGATTTTGAAGATAAACTGATACTTAACTGAATGGGATATTACAACGTCCGTCGATTAATTAAATTACTGACAAAGTAATTAATCAACTTCTTATTCATTTCCGAAATTAGTACCACTCAGTCTTTAACCATTATGTCAGACAATCGTCTACCTGCAGGGTTTAACATAAGGTTCCTTTCTGAGCTCATTTCGGGGACGTCATTAATCCAGCGCACTGGAACATAGTGACTGTAAATAATCTATAATAGCACATCATATAATTATTCTTACTTACCAAAATACCTCGTATGTCATCCTAACAGAATAGGAATCACTTGGCAAATCAAATAAATAAGAAATAAAAATATATGCCTATTTTATATTATTTTACAGCTTAAGAGAATGCATCAATCACTGAAGGTCTAGGTTACGACAACGGTCAGTGAGTCTCATATCCTTATCCTTTCGTGGTCCTGTTCAACACTTAACATAAGTGCTAGTGTAATCCTTCAGTCAAAGACCAATTGAATCGAGAAAACACTACAGTCTTTTTCCAAGTGGGGTCTCACTGCCAGTCTAGACTGTGAACGAATAGTTTAGTCTTATAAGGAACCGATAGGTGATCTTTCTGTTCGAAACTCTTCGAACCACACTATCTCAATATAAGACATGGAGTATGTATTGCATAAATAAATAAACTGCAAACACATGTACTTTGACCGAAACATGATTGCCAGATCAAAATGGAATTGATAGAAACTGCAAAAGACAGCTTTTACAGCATACCTCTAACATTACGGGCCTTATAAAATTGTGGCCAAGGTTGGGAAGGTTGCTTATCGACTTGAGCTGCTGGACGACTCCCATATTCATCCGGTTATACACGTCTCACAACTCAAGCAACAACTCGGCGAGACGCACGCGGCGAAGGATCGACTACCCGCGGTCGCACCGGACGGGCAGGTTATGGTGCGGCCGAGCCACGCGATGGAGTACCGGCAAGTCAAAAAGGCTGGGAAATATTTTTGGGAGGTGCTCGTCGAATGGGAGGACTTGCCGAGCGATAAAGTGACGTGGCAAAGTTGGGACGAGATGCGCGAGATGATCCCCGACTTCTTCCTTTAGGACAAGGAAGCACTTGAAGGGGACGGGAATGATGCAGACACGGCGAGAAGACTCAAGAACGCAGCGAGTCATGCGTGGCATGCGCGAGGGAGGCTAAGTCGTCGTGCCGGCGAGGCGCGATACGCGGACAGACACGCGCGCGATACTGTCGGGGACGAGCGCGAGGTTGAACGTGCAGGCGACGGGGTGCACGCGCGTACTTACCTAGGCGCGCGAGGATTAAGCGAGCTACTGGACAAGTGCGTGGGAATGGAAGATGAAGCCCTAGTCCTTGGGCGATTAGGCAACGCGGACGCGGGGCAGGGCGGCTTGAGGCGCAAGCAAGAAATATTCTAGATAGCTTGGTTAATATTTTATTTCCTTGTTTTCAAGTTTGTTTAGGACACTTATTATTTTTATTGCTTTCCTAGAGTAAGTAGTTTAGTCTAAGTAGATTAGGACTAGATCTTTATTTTGAGCCTTATAAATAGGCGTGCCTTGTTCTAAATTTGATATATTGATTTTTCTTAATACAAAAACCGAACTTTGTTCAAATCTCTTACTTTAGTTTACGTTAAGTGTTATGTTGCAAATCATCGTTCGAAGGGGCGCGAGTGTGTGAACCTTCGAGCACAGTATCGGTGATTTAAGGCGCGGGAGCGGCTTGTCGGCAATCGAGACACACGGTCTTCATCAGCGTGTTGTTGCGTGCAAGCAGGCCACTGCCGGCTGGCACTATACCGCTACGTGCAGGCAGGCCCTACGGTCGGCCCTTCGCCGGCTGTCCGGCAACTTTCTCCGGCAAGTATGATATGGCTGAACATAATATGACATGAAATGACTAAAAATGCAATAATTGTTCGGGAGTGTTCGACTAGATATTAATATGGCTTGGGAGTAAAATTAGGCTAAAATCACGTTCAACTTGACCGAGCATTTCTACTCGAAACTCGCTGAAACTTAACAGGCCACTTATATATGATTTATCATGATTTTTAAGCTACTAACCTTGGCCAAAACATGCTTGGAGCTAAAAATTTGTTTTTAAGCCGATTAACTTCAAAAATCTGAATCTTTAAATATACCTGTGTGAAACTCAATTTCTTGACATGATAAATCATAAAATATCCAAAAATGATTATTGCAGCATGAATCATTCGGGAGTTGCCGAATAAAATCGAACATGGCTCGGCAGAGCTTAAAATGATTTAAACCGAGCTTAACATGGCCTTAACATGAATCAAAGGGCATGATTTGAACATAATCTATCTAACATGATCATGTTAACATGGAGAGAGGGCTAAGACGTGATTACCTCCTCAAACTCTCGATCAATTATGCGCGACTCCTTGCAACAAAACTCCTTGCGTGCGCGTGCGTGTAAAATAATCTTAATCTAGCTTAACTTATGCTTAGGGAATAGCTTATGCGTAACCCCTATTTTTCACCCCAACTTCAGATTTTATAGAAGTTAAACGATGGTGAGAATGGAGATGAAAGTCTCAGCCAATGGCCGAGCGCCACTTGCCGCACGATCAAGGCCTAAGGTGGCCTCTTGTGTGCTTACTCACCCTCACACTTGCTTAGTCATACCTTTATTAAACTACAAGCCGCCACATGTGCTATAGTCATGATGGTTTTTCACGTGAATATTGCTCCCACACTTACGGTAAATTTAGAAAATCTTAAGCATGCTTATGCACTATTTAACCTTGCTTGCTAATAAACTAAGTGTTGTCGTGCTAATGAAGTGCATTGATCATACACGACTCATGCTTGGACTTACTAAGCACGATTAACACTAATACTTGATAATACACGGCAATTAGCTCATACTTAAACATGAATAAGCTCGGTAAAATAACTATCGAGCGATTAGACATGGATTAACTTATAATACATGAAATTATTTACTTAATAATTATTCCGAGCATGAACATGACATTCGAAAATTAATTCGAACGTTCTTGTCTTGGACGATTAATCCGAATATTGATATTTCGAATAATTCGTCAACTTAACTTATAATAAATGGACTGAGATTAATTATTATCATTGACTCGGTTAATAAAATTAACCGGATATACTTTCGACTTAACGTCGAACTTGGAATTTAACTTAGCTGAATAACTTAATCTTGAACATTTACATGATTACTTATAAAATAAGGCTAGCTTATATTTCAAAGTTAGTATTTTCCTTATTAATAAAATTTGGGGCGTTACGTTTGTACTGTAGTCTACCAAATTCTTTCAAAAATATTGGCTCTGAGACTTCAATCTTGCTTGGATTCATGCATTAGCCCATCACAATCCGCCTTTCTTAAAGGCAAACAAATATTTGACAATGTCATCATAGGACAAGAGGCATTTCATTTTCTGAATAGGCAGTCAACGGGAAAAAATCATTTCATGGCACTAAAACTTGATCTTATGAAAGCGTTTGACCGGGTAGAATGGATGTGCATTAAGAAAATAATGCTCCAAATGGGATTCCATTATGATTTTGTGCATTTAATCATGATTTGCATCTTCTCTAGCAGTTTTTTTTTCAAGGTGAATAGCTCAGTGAGTGGTTATGTGACTCCCTCAAGAGGAATTCGACAAGGAGATCCCTTATCTCCATACTTATTTATAATTGTGGATGAGATGCTTTCTGCTTTGATTACTAATGCTGTTGAAACAGGAGCTTTGGTGGGACTTAAGTTATCCAAGAATGGGCCTGCCATTTCACATTTACTCTTTGCAGAAGATTTCCTCTTTTTTTGCAGAGCCAGCAATGATCAAGCTATCATTTTACTCAACTTACTGGAAGGATACAAATTATTCACGGGGAAAAAAGTCAATATGCAAAAATTAGGAATTTTCAGCCAGAACACTGCTGCATATCTCCAGGAAATAATCTGCCAAACTTTGCTGAAATTTCAAAAATTTGCTGAAATTTCATCTACTCTATGTGCTGAAATTTGAAAACTTTGCTCTCACTTCTGGTGGAGTAAAGGAGAAGAACAAAACAGAGGCGTACATTGGAAGGCATGGAACTTGCTTACTCTGCCAAAAGAAGAGGGGGGATTGGGCTTCATTGATATAAAGAATTTCAATATTGCACTCATATGCAAGCAGCTATGGAGAATCACAACACAACCACAGCTTCTACTGAGCAGAATATTAAAAGAAAGGTAATATTTTAACTGCTCTATATTTGAAGCTATTAAAACCCTAAGATGATCATGGTTGTGGTTAAATTGGCTGGAAATTCTATCCATATTTGCCAAGGGTTTTACTATTAAAATCGGGAATGGAGAAAATACAAGGTTGGATGATGTGAACTGGGTGCCCACTCTAATGAATTCTAAGCCTCAGCTTCTGGATATAGCCAGGGGGCATATTATATGGGTTAGGGAGCTCCTGGGTGAATCAGGGAATGGGTGGAACACATGGCTGGTTGAGCAGTTGTACAACAACTCTGACAGTGCAGCTATTCTCAGGATAAATACACTCAAGCCAAGGCATCAAGATAGACATTCCTGGAAATTCAACAAGACAGGGGATTTCTCTGTGTCGAGCACTTACTCTTATTTAGTCAAACAAAAACTCAATACACTGGACATCCCTGGCAGCAACACATATTCAGGTAACCCTTTAAACTTTGCATTTAATAAGTGTAGGAAATTGAGAGTAAATGGCAAGGTGAAACACTTCATATAGAGATGTCTTTCTGAGACATTACCTGTTAAAACCAATTTAGCCAAAAGAGGAATGAAACTGAATGTAATATGCCAAAGCTGTGGAGAGGCCCCTGAAAATCTGGAACATGTTCTCTTTCATTTTCCAAAGGCTGCAAAAGTCTGGGAAATTGCACCAGTCACATGGTCAGGTATTTCTTCTATAACCTCCTTCAGATGCTGGTGGGGACACATTTGTACTTTGGGCTCTTCCCAACTAGCTAGAGCACAGATTCAACTTACAACATATATGATTTGGTTGTTGTGGAAGAGCCGAAACCTGTGGCTAATCAAAGACAAACCATGCCAGCCCACTTGATTGTCAAAGCAGCATTGAAAGAATGGTTGGGATACTTACAAATATCTGTCTTGTAAACTTTCTATCATGTTTTCTTTTTATATTATGTTGCGGCCTATTTAGAGTCTATGTAATTGATTGGCTTTGTTAGCTCTCTAGGCTTTGAGGCGTTGGAGAGTCATAGCGAAGTTAGGTTAGTTTTTGATTTTGTTGAGTGGTGTTCTAGGCCGCTTTAAGCGTGTCCTCCCAGTTTTACCTTCAGGTGTTGCTCGTTGTACCTTATTCAAATATTGTTCGTTTGATTGAGTTAATAATATCTCCACCGTTTTGAAGGAAAAAAGAATGAAGATTAGAAGGAAATATTTCTATTTTATGTTAGTAAAAATCTATAATTTATCTGTATTAATTAATGCTGCTCTTTTATCCCACCTTTCTCAAACAAACCGTCGAGGCTCCAGCGGAGGGAAAAAAAATCACGAAGAAGGGCTGGAAAAAAATAAGAGAAGAAGAGTGTAAAGAGGAGGTTGCAGACGTAGATATACATCTTCAAGTTGCCGACGTAGATTTACATAATTTATATTAAATACATTAGTAAATAATATTACCGTGCATTAAATATTTTATTACATAAAATAAAAATAAGAAGAAGACTACTTCTATAACTTTTATAAGTATTATAATAAGTAAGTAACTAAATATTATGTGGTGAACAAGACCAAGTAAAATTATTATTTTTTCTAATATGAAACACTAAATATATGCACTATAATTAAATTTAAATTAGTATAAACGTGTTAGCAAGATAATATATTAATTAATTAAACTGTTAGCGTTAACCGACTCAAATTTAACACTTCGGCTAAAAAAACAACTCTGATTGAAAGAGGTGGAAAATACATGATCCAACTGTAATTTTTACTTTTGTATAGATCGGCCATATGTTAATGATGCATTTAACATTTCTATCTCGTGCATCGCACGGGCTATGTACTAGTATATTGAAAGAGGTTGATGGACAAATTATTTACGTAAAATAGAAAAAAAGGGAGTCAAAACTTTTGAGTTATTATTTATGGAAATATGTTCAAAATTCAAAACTTTGTTTAGTTTTTCGTGAGTTACCATCTTTTATATATATATATATATATATATATATATATATATATATGGAAGCATCCACATTTTATATTTTACGTAAAATATATTTGCAAAGATCCGATTTTATATTGCAACGATAATTGTGTTAACCAAATCATAGTAACTCCTTTTTTGATTGATGCTATATAAAACATTTTCAAAATTCGCGTGAAATAGAAATCTGTTGATACAAA